CTATGGGTATCTTGGCATCTTATTGAACCAAGGGCTTTGCCCATGAGTAAACTAATTGATTTGACCCTCTGCTCCTTTGTCTGTAGATTATTTATATTGATTTGTTTACTTTTATTGAGGTAAAATTCATGACATTAAATGAATTATCCAGAAGTGTACAATTCAGTGGCCTTTAGTACATTCACAATACTGTGTAACTATCACTTCCATCTATTTCCAAGAGTATTTCATGACCCCAAAAGTAAACTCCATACTCATTAAAAAGTCACTTCTCAATCCCTTCCAACCCTTAGCCTCTGGCAACCACTAGTCTGTTTTCTGTCTCTGTGAATTCACCTGTTCTGGTATGACCTCATATCCATGGGATTATACAATATGCAACCTTTTGTGTCTGCCTTCTTTCACTTGCATAAAATTTTTGAGGTTCATTCATGTTGTAGAATGTGTCAGTATTTCATTCCTTTTCTATGGCTGAATAATACTTCATTGTACAGGCATACCACATTTTCTTTATCCATAAATTCATTTATGAACATTTGGGCTTTTGCTACCTTTTGTTATTGTGAATAGTGCTGCTATGAAAATTCTTGTACAAGTATTTGTTTGAATACCTGTTTTCCATTTTAGGGGTATATATTTAGGAATGGAATTGCTGGGTATACTATGTTTAAGTTTTTGAGGAACTGTCAAACTGTTTCCCACAGAGAGAACACCATTTTGCATTACAACCAGCAATGTATTAGAATTCTAATTTCTCCACATCCTCACCAACACTTGTTATTTTCCAATATTTTTTATTATAGCCATAGTAGTACTTGTAAAGTGGTATCTCAGTGTGGTTTTGATTTACATCTCCCTAATGACAAAAGAAGTCAATCATCTTTTCAAATGCCGTCTTGGCCTTTGTATATCTTCTTTGGAAAAATGTCTTCAAGTTCTTTGCTCATTTTTTAAGTGGGTTGTTTTTCTTTTTGTTACTGAGTTGGAAGAGTTCTTTATATATTCTTGAGACTAGGCTCTTAAAAAATGTAAAATTTGCAAATATTTTCTCCCATTTAGTACATTGCCTCTTTACTTTCTTATCTTTTAATGCACAGTTTTCAATTTTTATCAAATTTAATTTATATATATTTTTCCTTTTGTTTCTTATGCTTTGGTGTCACGTCTAAGAATCCAAGGTCATGAAGATGTACCTCTGTTTTCTTCTAAGATTTTTGTAGTTTCAAACTCTTGCATTTATGCCTTTGATCCATTTTGAGAAAATGCTATAAATGCAGCAGAACATAAAAAATGAATGAGAGGCCTGTCTATATGATATAATAGTTAAAGGTTTTTGCTGCCCTTTTTCAGAGCCCTTTGTGTCCTAATAGGAGAAAAGTAATATAATGTTAAATCACTCTCATTGGATTTTCAAATAAAGTGGTTGAAATAAGAAAGAATATGTGGTATTATATGTTTAACTTTTTGAGAATCTACCAAAATATTTACATGGTATTGCTATGTATATTACATAGTGTTACATAGCACTACATTAGGAGAGTGTAGCTTTACCCTAATGCTCTTTTCTTCTATTGAAAATATCTTTCCCTAATAATAAAATACACAGGCAAATTTGTGCCTTATTTTCTCTTTCTCTCTTCTATCACATATTAAGTTAAACTGAAAAAGCAAATTGTACTTATGAATCATAGCCACTTGGTTAAAAATAACCAACTACAGTAAAACCTTGGTTTGCAAGCATAATTCGTTCCAGAAACATACTACTCGTATTGCAAGACATCGCTCATTTATCCAGTTAAAATGTATTAGAAATATTTGCTCATCTTGCAGAACACTCGCAGACCAAGTTACTCGCAATCCAAAGCTTTACTTGTCTGCCAGGGAAACCTAGTAGTGTGAAAATTACATTAGAATGAAGGTCAAAACAAACAATAACAAAGGCAATGGGAGAGAAGCTATAAGTAGACAAGACAATTTAAAAATTTGTAGAAAACAGAAAATGGATGAGATATTAGTACATATCAGAGCAACTGCACAGGACCATAAAACAGAAGAGGAAGTCTACTCTCCCATATAAACCCTTCACAGGTCCAGACATATCAATGTCAAAGGCAATGAAGAATTAGAGTGCATTGTGGAGCTGAAAATAGGATGTTAATGGAAACAAGTTATATGAATTTTCCCAGTATGACTCCTACTGCCATGTGCTCTTGATAATCTAGGAAAGTGCATATCACACAAAAGACAAATAATACTTTACTTTTTAAAAACTGAATTATTCTAATGGAAAAAAATCTTCATAATCTCTTACATAGATGTTCTCCAAAATAATGGCTCACTCTACAGCTTATCATCCTAAAGCGAAACTCACTTTTAATCAAACCGTATCCAGGACAAAGGGGGTCCAATTTACTTTTAAATGGCTTTACCTTTAAATATGAATTCATACTAAGCCATCATTTGAAATGTTGTTCAACACAGAAGATGAATGTTGGAGAGCATAGAGATAATATAGAAAACAGAACAGATTATTTTACTGGATACAGACATCAACTTTGATGTCACACTCACTTTGAACAAAATTCAAACTCTAAAATAAGCAACTACTGGAAACTCGGCAAGCAGTGTATGCTTACTCTAATTTCAGTTTACTCTTCTGTATAAATGTAATTATTTAATTCTGAGGCAATCTGATGATAAAATGTTATGCTGCTTGCACAAAGCATGTGTCACAGAGCCTGGTACAGAGAAAGCACTCAATGAATGTCAATGGTAATGCTGGTGATGGTGGTGGTGGTGGTGGTGGTGATGGTGGTGATGATGGTGATGATGACAACAACAATGATATCATGTCTACAGAAGACTTCATGAAATCATTTTGGGGGATTTTCAGTTCAGTTACATTAAATTTAATATTTTAAAAATCTATTTTACCATTTGACTTAAAGCAATGTAGACTCCCATAGATTTTTTTCAGTCAGTAAAACACCTAAAAAATAAATTTGTTTCCTCTGAAATGGCTAACCTATTATATACATAATAGGTGATAAGATTTTTTTGTTTATTTTGTTACTGTTTCACAGTGATTTCTTATATTACTCTTTTTATTTTTCAGATCAACTTACGATAGAAAATGGTAAACTTTAATGACTATTTATAAGATATGATCTTCCTACTGTCTGTTTCATAGTGATTCTTATTTTACTCTTTTTATTTTTCAGATCAACTTAGGAAAGAAAATGGTAAACTTTGATGACTATAAGATATGGTCTTCATCTAGTGATTTTTGCTTGCTTCCTCCTTTTGTCATGCCTTCTACTTTCTCTGTGTAATTTTCTCTTTTGTGATTTTCATTCATTGTATTGTATTACAACTTCTCTTACCTATTTCATGCTTTGTTCTTCTCCCATTTGTTAACTCATTTTTCCCACTCACCCTTCTCTTTATCTACCGTATTATTTTTTAGCTATCTCTATGATGATAACAATAACTCCTTCTTGAGGCTCTGAGATGAGTGAAGTTCTAATGAGAATATATTTGAAAGGGCTCTGTGGTGCTTGGTGTGCCCACAATCTCAATCAAAGAAAAACTCAAAAATTCTTCTATGCATCAAGACACCCTTTTTTAAAAAAGTGCAATAGGTGGTTCCTTGTAGTAGATGCCACTGTTCCCACCTTGTGACTGAAGACTCAGCTGGCTGGACTAAGAGTGGCATAGTGATTAGGAATCTTCATTTTGTATACCCTAGGTTCAAATAATTGATCTGCCCATTTACCAATAGAAACTCTGCCATGTTATTGACCCCTTTGATTCTCAGATCTTCATTGTGTAAACAGGAGCACAACTTAATAGTTATTTTTAAATTTTTATTAAATTTTTGGGGTGACATTGGTTAGTAAAATTACACAGGTTTCAAGTTTACAATTCTATAATACATCATCTATATATTGCATTGTGTGTTCACCACCTAGACTACTCCTTCCATCACCATATATTTGACCCCTTGTACCTGTTCTACTACCCCCCCAACCCTTACCCTCTAGTAACCACTAAACTGTTGTCTGTGTCTATGAGTTTTTGGTTTTTTGTTTGCCTTATTCATTTATTGCTTTCAGTTTCATATCCCACATATGAATGAAGTCATATGGTTCTTTGTTCTCGACATGAATAGATCTTGAAATTACCATGCTAAGTAAAATAAGACAGAAAACATCAAGAACTTAATAGTTATTTTGCTAACATTCAATTGAGTAATTACATGAAGCCCATAGCAAATCCCTAACTTATACGAAGCATTGAAGAAATTGTAGCTGCTATTGCACAGATGTTGTGCCCATGACAACATTGCAGGTGATGATATTCTTTAATATAAGTATTCTAAAATAGTTCAAAAAGAATAATTCTTTGGGGAATTTAATAATTTCCCTCTTGAATTTCAACTGTAAAATTGTTTATCTATGTAAATGTGTGATATGTTTTTTCCCTTTGTTTTTCAACTAGTGTTCTAGAAGAAAAAAGTGAGAGTTTCTCAACCCTTAATAAGCTAATTTATGTCATTGCCTGGAATTTTTGTAAGCAAGTTTAATTTTTCTTTTTTCTGTGACATTAAGATAGGTTTTCACTTTTGTTTTTCAGAAAAATTGAAAAAGGAATTTGGTAATTGTATTCCAATAGTTAAAATATTTGCAAGATTTTGTCATCCTGTGGTGATTCTTTGCTTCACTTTATCATTTTCTCCATCTTTTACGTTTCCCTATTGCCTCTCTGTGTTGCAATTATCATGCAATTTACCTGCTTATCTTGATTAATTTCTTAAAATCAAACAATTCAATTTCATTTTATCCATGAGAAACAATTTCAGAACAGAACAATGGCTTGACTAATGTGATAGTAATGATTATGATAAATCCCTGAGATGAATGCATGTCTTTGTTTCTATATCTTGATCTCTTTGAGTGTCCCAGTCTTATGAGTGCATCTCCTTTCAGATGAGAGGAAAGCTCAATTTAGGAAGGGTAAGTAACTCAGAAGTTGTTTCATGGATCAAATTCCACAAATAATATGATGCTAACCCTTCTCTAAACCCTTCCCAGAAAGCCATGCATAGTATACCATTGCCTATGTTCTCTGTATAGAAACAAAAATGGAAGAGATCTGTAAAAGTTAGGTAACTCGTGTGGTTTTTTTTTTCTGATTTGGAATATCTCTTTATTGAGATGGAAAATTGTTTTAAGGAATTTCCCAAACTTTTCTTCTTTTCTCTTCCCTTCTCTATGACTCATGTTTCACTATGTCTCACTTCTTTCTCAATTCTTTATTCCTTCACTGTGCTCTTTCAAATTCCTTACCTTTCTTCCTTCTTTTCTCCTTTTTCCCCTCTCTTCCTTCTTTCCATTTTTTTATCCTTTTTTCATCTTCATTTCTCAAACTATCCACCTTTCCATCCATCATTCCTTTATTTTCTATCTTCCTTTTTTTCCCCATTTCTTCCTTCTCTTGCTTTTAGCTTCTCTTTTCTTCTGACTTTATATTTTTCCACACACATACACAAACCCAATCATTTTCAAGTTCAGGAAAGGAATGGTCACATGTTTGTGAGGAAGGAAAGGGAGATAGATAGATAGATAGATAGATAGATAGATAGATAGATAGATAGATAGAGATAGATAGATAGATAGATAGATAGATAGATAGATAGATAGATATGTAATTGAATACTTAGGGAATGCCATGCATGGGAAGAAAAGAAAAGATATGAGAAATGCCAAGGAAGGATAATATTTCACTATTTTTTTCACTTGCAGACTGGCAAAAAACATCATTGTACCCAGGTGAGTACATTGTCCTGACCATGATAGTTCTCCCAGATTCTAAGATATATAATTAAGCTCTTAAATTTTGTAAAACATCATGCGATCAGCTACCACATGATAGAGAAAAATACATAGAATATTACTTCTGTTACATAGAAAACTTAGCAAGATTGATAACTTTTAAGTACATTTCTTTTCATCTTTTGCTCACCTGTGTCTCACAAGACACTTACAAGTTAATTAACATAGATATCACGAAGTGATGAGATTATCTTTTCAGGGTAATGGATTTACCTTTTTTTTTTATGAATCCAAAAAGGTTTTATATTTATGTTAATTCTAGCTGCTCTTTCAAATGAACACCAAACCATAATAGTTTAGTGAGCTACAGTGTATTCCTTATGTATACACAAATATTCCTGGTCAAAAAGCTCTACTTGTTAGATGCCCTCCAAGCAATTACTTTGATCTGGACTCTTCCATGTGTAGCTTCTCAATACTCTAGATGTCCTTCAATTCCAGCCAAAATTTTTGGAGAGGAAAAAAATGTGAATATCACCAGAGAGGAATGATTTGTGGCAGAGGCTGAAAAGGCATTCGTCACTTCTGCCTATGTAGATAGACCACTTCTCAGTCACATGGTTTCACCTACACATAATGGGAGCTGGAAAATGTTTGTTTGCCCAGAAAACAGAACAGAAATGAATATTCTTAGAGCCTAGCAATCTCTACAACATGCTGTCTTTCTAGTCACCTAAGGTCAATTTGATGCTTCTTCCCGTGTATATAACTCACTCAATCCTTCCTCAAAAAACAAGCCGAGGGCCCATCCAGTCACTGCAGCTAATTCAAAGGCATTCCTAGTCCTCTTCCTCAGGTCTGGATGGAATTCTTCTGGAACTTGTAATCTATGTGCTAAAAGAGAGGAGTTGTCAGGACCCTCTATTCCATACTGAAATGAACTACAGTAGAACATGGAAGAAAAATTCTACTTAGAATAGGGAAGGAGAAAACAGAAGAGGCATCATTTGCCAACAGCAGTAAGGAATCCCACAAGGCCTCTATTCTGAGAGCAGAAGAAGTGAAGGACTTCTATCCTGAGAGCAGAAGAAGTTTCCTGATTCTGGAGACCCTTATTTTGCTCTTGAGGTGTAACTTGCTTTCTATTGTCCTTAGTGCCCCTTGGCTGTACCCCACTTCAAAGGCATAGTGTCACAGCGCACGTCCGGCTTGTGAAAATTCAGTGTCACAAAACATGCTTTGTACCTTTCACACTTAGAGAAGTTTTTAGTTTGAGCTGGTTTTCTGAGGTGTAATTTGCATACCATGTAGTCAATCATTTTAAGTGTTCATTCACTTTTAAAAAGTCAATTCAATGATTTTTAATACTTTTACATAGTTGGGCAACCACCACCAAATCCAGTTTTAGAAGATTTCCATCACCCCAAAGAGATCTCTTGTTTCCATTTTCAGCCAATCCTTGTTTGCAAAACCAGGCAACCACTAGTCTATAGACCTTCTGTCTCTATAAATTTACCTTTTCTGGACATATACAATTGGAATCATATAACACATGGGTTTTTTTAAATCTCTGGTTTCTTCCAGTTAGCATAAAGTTTTGAAACTCATGTTTTAGCATGTTTCAGTGGTTTGTTCCTTTTTCTTGCCATGCCATATCCCATTGTGTGGATACGCCACACTATGCCCATTTACTCCACACTTTATAGGCATTTAGAATACTTCCACTTTGGATGTCTTATGAACAGTTCGGCTAGGAACATTCATGTACACATCTTGGTGAAAAAAATGTGTTTCATTTCTTGGTTGTATACTTAGGAATGGAAATTCTGAATCATATGGTAACTTGATGTTTAACATTTAATGAAATTGTCAAATGTTTACCAAAGTGTCTGCACCATTTTACATTTTGAACAGCAATATATGACATTTGTTATTATCTATAATTTGTATTATAGCCATCCTATTGGATGTGAAGTGTATCTCATTGTGGTATTGAGTTTCTCTTACATATAGTGATGTTGAGTGTTATGTCATATGGTTTACAGTCATTTGTATATCTTCCCTGGCAAAATGTCTATTTAACTGTTTTGCCATATTTAAATTGGGACGTTTGTCATTTCACTATTGACTTGTAAGAAATTTTTATGTATTTGGATACAAATCCTTTATCAGATAAATGATGTGAATGTATTTTTCCCCAGTCTGTGTACTGTTCTTTCATTTTATTATCAGTGTATTTTGAAGTACACAAGTTTTTGTTTTGATAAGGTCCAATTTATCAGTTTTTTCTTTTATTATTTCTAGCTTTGGTGTCATATCTCAGAACTACTTGCATAACTCAAGGTTACAGATTTTTCTCCAATTTTTCTAATGAGAGTCTTATAGCTTTAGCTCTTAACTTTAGATATATGACATATTTTGAGTTAATTTTTTTGTGTGGAGTGAGGGAAAGATACAAGAACATCTTTTTGCATGTGAATATTCAATTGTGCTAACACAAACTCTTGGAACACTATACTTTTCCCCACTGAATTGCTTTGGCACCTTTCGAAAAAATCAATTGATCATACGTTTATTTCTGTTCCATTCATCTGGTTGTCTACCCTTAAGACAATATGACACTGTCTTCATTACTATAGCTTTGTGGTATGTTTTGAAATTTAACAGTGTAACTCTTCTTATTGTGAGCTTTTAAAAAATTGTTTCACCTATTCTGTTTCCTTTGTATTTCCATATGAATTTTAAGATTGACTTAAAATTTTCTGCAAAACAAAAAAAAGGCTGCTAGAATTTTGATAGAAATTATGTTGAATCTGTGGCTCCACAGATAAATTTAGGTTGAATTGCCTTTTCAGTAATAGTGAGTCTTCCTACTTATGACCATTAAATGTTTCTCTTTTTACTTATATATTCTTTATTTGTCTCAGCAATGTTTTGTATTTTTCAGTGCTCAAATATTGCACTTTTTTATTAAATTTCTTCCTGAGTATTTGATAGTTTTTGCAATTATGAATGGAATTGTTTTCTTAATTTCATTTTCAGACTATTCATATTGTTAATTTCATAGCAATATGATTAAATCTAATCATAGCAATATGATTAAATTTAATCATAGCAATATGATTAAATTTTGTATATTGATTTTTTTATCCTGTGACCTTGCTGAATTCATTTATTTGTTGTAGTTCTAATAGACTTTTTTGGATATTTTTATGATTTTCTAGAGGCACAATGAGTCAACTGTAAATAAAAAGAGTTTTGCTTCTTTTTTTAAATATGAATGTCTATATATATATATCTGACTATATGGAACCTCCATTACAATGTTGAATAGAAATAGCAAAAGCAGATATCCTGGCCTTGATCCCTATCGTGGAGTGAAAGCATTTATTTTTTTACCATTATTTTGTCAGTTTAAAATTTTTCATAGATAGCCTTTATCAGGTTGAAAACCTGCCCTTGTATTCTCAGCTTGTTGATTGTTTTGCTGTTTTTCTTTTAATCAGAAATAGGCATTGATGTTGAGATGATTATGCTATTCTAGCCTTTATTCTATTAGTATGGTTTATTACTTTAATTGATTTTCACATATTAAGCTGATCTTGCATTCTGGGCATGAACTCCACTTGGTGGTGGTCTATAATCTTTTTTGCATGTGTTGGTATATTTGTTTTGCTAATATTTTATTGACAGTTTTTACATCTGTATTCATGAGGGATATTTGTAATGTCTTTGTCTGGCTTTAGGTATTAAGGTGGTACTAGCCTCACAGAATGAGCTGAGAAGTGTTCTATTTTCTAGAAATTTTTGTTGAATATTGGTATTATTTATCCTTTAAATGTTTGCTAAAATTCACCAGTAAAAGCAATTGGGCCTGGGAACATCTTTGTGAAAAGTTTTTAATTAATAATTTAATTCCTTAACTTGTAGAAGTATATCCAGAGTTTTAAAAAATTTTTATTAAAATACAGCTAAATACAATATTATATTAGTTCCAGGGGCATACCACAGTTATTCAACATTTATCTACCCAAAGAAGTGATCACTATAATAAGTTCAGCAACCACCTGACTCCATACCACACTATCACAATGTTATTGACTATATATAAAGTAAAGCATGTGGAATATAATCAATAATATGGTAATAACTATGAAGTCTATCCAGATTTTCTACTTTTTAAGTCATTTTCACTAATTTCTGTATGTTCAGGAATTTGAACATTTCCTCTATGTCTAATTTATTGGCATAGGGATTTTCATAAAATTCCCATTTGGGCCTCCTTCTAATTTCTGTAGAGTCAATAGTTATATCTCCTCTTTCATACCTGATTTTGATTACTGTGCTTCTGTCTTTTTATTATTGAGAAGTCTAATAAACTTTGCTGACTTTTTCTAAGAAGCAACATTTGTGCCATCGATTTACTCTACTGAATTTTCATTGAGTATTAATCTAATGCTTATTATTTCCTTAATTTTGATTGCTTCAAGCATAGTTCACTTTTTTGTTTTCAGTCTCTTCAGGGAGAAGTTTAGGTTATTGGTTTAAGATAACTCTCCTTTTCTACTACAAACATTTAAAGCTCTAAAGCTCCCTCTAACCATTGCTTTTAGCTGCATCTGATAATTTTTGCTATGTAGTTTTTTCACTTTCATTCAATTCAAGATATTTTCTAAATTATTTTCTGGTTTCTTTTTTTATCCATAGATTATTTATAAATGTATAATTTAATATCCAAATTTTTGTTTATTTTTAAAATTTTATTTCTGTTATCTTGTTTCCAACTTAATTCAATTGTAATTAGAGAACATCTTTTGATGAACATCCTTTTATTAATCATTTTAAATAATTTTTCTTAAATGAGTGTTTCTCTATTTGATGTGTGCCTTTGTCAATTTCCACAGTTTTAAAGTGGTCATTTTTGACAATTTTTCCAGTGATATTATTGTTTTGGGGGAGAAGATTTGCCAAGCTATTCACTCAGCCATTCTGGAAGTCCTTTTCATGTTATTTTTGACAACATTTTCCTTCAAATTTAGTAGGCATCGCATATATTTCCTTCCAGTTAGTTTCATGTTTCAATAACTAAATACAAAGTACAACTGTAGACATATTTTTCAATCTTGTTTATTACCCTACACATCAACTTTTATGGTTGCTCTCTAGAAGCTACTGGAAACAATTGTGCAAAGTCCATCATCTTAATCTGTTCTTTCCATTAAGTCACTTTGTTCAATAAAGAAATTGCACTATTCTTTTATGTTAAAAATGCACTTAATTTTATCTTTTATTTTTGGTTGGTTTATAAAAATGATTGCCATACTTGTTCTATAAAGGGCCAAATTGTAAATACTGTAGGGCTATAAAATATTTGTGGGCTATATAGTCTGTGTCACAATTATTCAGCTGTATCCTTTTAGTATAAAAGCAGGCAATACATAATTAATTAGCATGGCTGTCTTCCAATAAAACTGTATTTACAAAAACAAGTGGTGGGCTGGATTTGGCTCATAGACCATAATTTGCTGACTCTTGATCTAGAAAATAATCATCTTTTTAAACTCTGAAAGCTACCCATTTTTTTGGAATATTTCATTTATTTTGAAAAAAGGTGAATAATTATTTCAAAAATGAATAGGTATTTTTTGTTTGTTTTTTAGCAGGATGTTAGTAACAGATTCAATAAATGCTCTCTTTCTTTAGATCTGCAGTCTATTTAGAGCACATTATATGCTTTCTAAATGATCACAGGCAACAGTTTTAGCAAAAGTTTTGTCACTGCTTATCGTGGATGTTTATATATGCAGTCAGTTTTGTCTGTCTTGTCTTGTCACTCCTATTGCCTAAGCTCTAAACCAAGACCACACATTTCAAGGGTTTATTCAGTACTTCATTTTCATTTTATAGTAGACCTTTCTGCGTGGAGCAGTGTAACTAACTTTGATTTTTATAAAAAGTAGCTCTCATATCTCCTTGTCTTAACACAACTGCTTGAAATTCCTGGCACAAATTATAATATGAATATTCCTGGTTCGGTGACTCTCCTGAGCAACTCTCTTCAAAACAATAACTGTGAGACTGAGGTTTTTTTCCAGTCTCCTCTCTTCTCCATTTTTACGGCCTTTGTTTCCAGTGTTGTAGCCCAGGGGGAGGGGGAGGAAAGTGTGATAGTTAGAATGAGAAAAATAAAAATCACAAAAACTAGTTTATTTTGAAGCCTAGAAATGGTATGAATCTCTGCTGTCAACACTTGATTGGCCACAAGTCAGTCACACAGTCTCTCCTGAATGCAACAGGGGTCCTTGTGGCGAACATGTGTTAATAATTTTGCTGTCTGTTCATGAAGAGGCTAACTATACCTTGGGAACATCTGTAGTTGGTACTACAGAAAGTATAAGTTACAGGAATTAATTCTTATGGTTAATAAGAAAAGCAGTAGAAACTTTAAAAGATCAAGCAAAAATTGCAAAATAAATTTAGGACATTTAACCAAAAGACGTATTAGAAAGAAGAAATTACCTTTTGTGCCAGAAAATTCAAATACTAGATCTGATAATGCATATTTATGTTCTTTTCAGACTGGAGGAAAGAATTTTTCCAGGCTGGTGAGTCATTCCCTGATGGTCCAAGAGGAATTCTGCTCCTTATGCTCAGGCTCAGTACCAGGGGAGGTTGTTAGGGCCTGTGACAGACTCCACATCTCCCATAAGCCCCAAGTATCTCATGCCGACACGGATATCTCCACTTCCGCGATCACTGTATCCTTTTCAGAGATTAAAAGGGTTATTGTCTTTGCAGTGAATATTATTCTGGATCCAGCCACGGCCCATCCGGCCCTCATCCTGTCTGAAGGGAACAGACGTGTAACCTTGGGAGAGAAGTCTCAAGATCTACCTAAGAACCCACAGAGATTTTATTCCCTTCCCTGTGTGCTGGGTCAAGTCATCACTTCAGAGAGGTGTTATTGGGAGGTAGATGTCAAAGACGGTGGGGCCTGGGACCTGGGAATTTGTAGGCATAATGTAATGAGGAGGGGAAGGATTTCCATAAAACCAGAGGATGGTTTCTGGGCCATCAGGTTTCATAAGGATGAGTACTGGGCACTCACCTCTCCAGAAACACAGCTTACTCTAAAAGAGCGCCTTGCCAGGGTGTGCATTTTCCTAGAATATGAGGATGGACTTATCTCATTCTATAATATGACAGATAAATCCCATATTTACACCTTTTCTCAAGGCTCCTTTGATGGGTCCCTAAGACCTTTTTTCAGGCTTTGGTCCAGTGATTCAGGACATCTGACCATCTGTCCAGTGCCTGAAGCAGCACAGCCTGATGATAACCTTCACCACGTTTCCACACCGGCACTGGAAACATCATATAACCTGCAGATCAGTGTGGATTGAAGCATCTAGTCACGACGTGAATTCTCTCATACAAGAATCTTTTCTTATGGACGAGTAGTATTCTACTGTGTATATGTACCACATCTTCTTTATCCAATCATCTATCAAAGGACACTTTGGTTGTGCCATTTGTGACAACATGGATGGCTCTTGAGGTTATTATGCTAAGCAAAATAAGTGAGACAGAAATGACTTCACCATATGTGGGATATAAAACAAAGCAACAAAGGAACAAGACAAAGAAGCAAAAACTCATAGACACAGACAACAGTTTAGTGGTTACCAGTGGGTAAAGGGGAGGGGACGTGGTAGAAGAAGAAAAAGGTGGTCAAATATATGGTGATAGAAGGAGAACTGACTCTGGGTGCTGAACACACAAGGCAATACATAGATGACGTATTATAGAAATGTACACTTGAAACCTATATAATTTTACTAACCATTGTCACCCCAATAAATTTAATAAAAAGAAAAAAATTTCCCAAAGAGAAAGAAGCAAATCATTTTCCTTATCCTTTTCGATAGTTCACCCTAAAATTTTATCTCCCTCATAAGTAGTTCCCCAAAACATGGTATAGTGTGAAGAAGTATGAAATGGTGTGTTGCTTCTGGTATGTTTAATTTTATATACAGAGGGTATCAAAACAATGTATACACATTTTTAAAAAGGAAAACACTGTATTAAAATTATGCTGATGGTAACCATTTTGAGTACCTCTTTTAACTGCAGAAGTGAAACATGGCTTGTATTCATCTTTTGTTATTGGTATATATTGAGTATTACAATTTTAATACAGTTTTCATTTCTTAAAAACTGTATACATTTTTTGGCACTGTGTGTGTGTGTGTGTGTGTGTGTGTGTGTGTGTGTGTAATATCTCACATATACATACTCATGTAATATAATCATACTACCACTGTAAAACACAAGGAACTAGTATCTGTGATCTCCCAAACAGTTTTAAAATCTCTAGACTATTTGACAAAGGTAAGAATATGGAGATAATAACTTTTATTTTTATACTCTTTTGTACCTTTGGGCTTTGTACTATATTTTTTTAAATGATATGCAGGAAAATAAAATTAGTTTTAAATAAAATAATAATTAAACTGTGATCAGTTGTCTAACTTAGTATGACATCCAGAGGGAAGCACATGTTTTTAAGTTTATCCTTCAGTTTCCAGTACATGAACTTCATCTACATTGCATTCTTATGTTTTTACCCTCTTCATTCTCTTATGAGATATTGATTCATTCCTGTCTCTTTTTTTTTTTACCACCACTTATATTTTACAATCAGGATACAAAACAGTTTCATTATCCCAATAAACTCTCTGATGCTATCCTTTTGTAGTCAAATCTTTCATAAACACATAATCTGAAAACAATTAATCAGCTTTCTGTCCCTATACTTTTGTATTTTCTAGGATGTCATATAAATAGAATCAGATAGTGTTACCTTTTGATATTGACTTCTTTTGCTCAGAACAAAGCATTTGATGTTTATTCATGTAGGTATTAATACTTCATTCCTATTATTTGCTGAATAGTACTCCAGTGAATGAATGTATCACAATTTGCTCATTCACCAACTGAAGAATATTTATGTTACTTCTAGTTTGGGATGATTATGAATAAAACTGCTATAAACATTCAAGTAAACATTTTTGTGTGAATATCTGTTTTTGCTTTTCTATGGTAAATATCTAAAAATAGAATTACTGGGTCACATGTTAAGAGTTGTTTCAACTTTATAAGGAACTGTTACTCTTTCTAGAATGGATATACCGTTGTGCATTTCCACTAGAAATGTACAAGAGATTCAGTTCCTCTATGTCCTTATCAACACCTGCTATTGTCAGTTTTCTTGTTTGGTGCATTTTTCTTTTATTATTTAATCCTATCCATTACATCCTATGTAGTGGTATCTCACTGTAGTTTTATTTGAATTATGGTTAATGATACGGTTAATAATGGTTAATGATATCGAGCATCTTTTCACGTGTTTATTTACCATTTGTATGTCTTCTAGGTGAAGTGTCTGTTCAAATCTTTAGTCTATTTTCTAAACATTTTGATACACTCATTTTTAGAGGAGTTTTAGGCTTACAGAATTGTGCAGAAAGTACAGAAGGCTTAAATATATCCCCTTTTCCCTGCACACAGTTCACCTAGTAACATTTTGCATTAGTGTAGTACATTTGTTATAATTGATGAGCCAACTTATTATTATAAACTATTAACTAATTATTAACACATAATTTACACTAGGGTTCACTTTTTGTGTTGTACAGTTCTATGTGGATTTACAAATGGTTTCACTCTCCTAAAAATGTCCTGTGTTCCACCTATCAATCCCTCCACCCCCTGAACCTCTGGCAAACACTGTCTCTATTGTTTTCCTTTCCCTGCATGTTATACAGTTGGAATCATGCTTGTAGCTTTTTCAGACTGGCTTCTTCACTTAGAAAAATATCTTTAATTGCCTCCATGTCTTTTTGTGGTTTGGTAGTTCACTTCTTATTACCAAATAATATTCCATCATAAGGATGTACCACAATTTGTTTATCTGTTGTAATCAAAGACATTTTGTTTGCTTCTAATTTTGGACAATATAAATAAAGCTGATATAAACACTCATGTGCAGGTTATTATATAGACATAAGTTTTCAACTCATTTAGGTAAATACAATTGCTGAATTATATGGTAAGACTACCAGCAGTGAATGAGAGTTCCCATTGCACTGTATCTTTGTCAGCATTTGGTATTGTCAGTGTTGGTATTGCCAGAAATTTTTGTTATTCTAATAAGTGTATAAGGGTTTCTCATTGTTTTAATTTAGAATTACCTAATGACATATGATACTAAACACTTTTTCATATGCTTATATCTTCTTTGGTGATATGCCCCTTCAGATCTTCTGCCAATTTTTAATTTTTTTATTGTTTTAAGTTTTCCTTGTATATTTTGAATACAAGTCCTTTATCAGTTTTGTATTTTGCAAATATTTTCTCCCAGTCTGTGGCTTGTCTTTTCATTTTCTGAATAGTGCTTTTCACAGAGCAGATGTTTTTTCATTTTAATGAAGTGCTACTTACCCTTCTTTTTCTTTCATGGATCATGTTTTGATGTTGTATCTAAGATGCCGTAGCTAAATCCAAGGTCACCTAGATTTTCTCCAATGTTATCTTCTACAAGTTTAACAGTTCTGAATTTCACATTTAGGTCATGATAAATTTTGAGTTAACATTATGAAAGCTGTAAGGTCTATGCTTAGATTCATTTTCTGCATGTGGACGTCCAGTTGTTTCAACACCATTTCTTTACAAGACTATCCATTCTTTGAATTGCCTTTGCACTTTCATCAAAGACCAGTTGAGTATATTTTTGTGGGTCTATTTCTGGGGTTTTATCCATTTTATGGAGAACATGCTTGTTTTCTTATTGTTGATTTTTAAGAATTTTTTATATATCCTAAATACAAGTCCTTTCTCAGATACATTATTTGCAAATATTTTCTCCTATCTTAAAGCTTGTCTTATCATTCTCTTAACAGTTTATTTTGCAGAGAAAAGATTAATTTTGACAAAGTCCATTTCATCATTTTTTTTTCTTCTCATGCTTTTGGTGATATACCTAAAAACTATGGGCCTACAGAAAGATCATGAACATTTTCCTATGATTTTTTTCTAAAAGTTTAATTATTTAACATTTTACATTCATATCTATGATCTATTTTACATTAGATTTTTATAAGGTGTGCATGTTGAGTAGTTTCATTTGTTTTTGCATATAGATATCTCTTATGGGTTGAATTGTGTGCCCCCCCCCCAAAATACATTAAAGTCCTTATCTCTGGTACCTGTGAAGGTGAATTTATTTAGAAATGGTGTCTTCAAAGACCTTTGGAAAGAACATTAGATACAATATTATTATATAAAACCAATAGCATTTTTATTTTCTAACAAAAAATTTTTTAATGAAATTAAATGCAATACAATTTAACATGACATGAAAAACATGAAATACCAAGGAATAAAGTTAACAAAATATATGCAATATAAACAAATAGCCAATAAACACATGAACAAGTGCTTAGCACCATGAAAATTAAAACCACAATGAGATACCACTACATACTACCAGGAAGAGATAATCACAACACACCCACAAAATGATGGAATTTTTAAAAATTACAGCACCAAATGTTGAGAGACTAGGATGCAATTAGAACTCCCATCCATTGTTGTTGTGAGTGTAAAATGCTACAACCACTTTAGAAAATATCTGCTAGTTTATTTTTAAAATTGAACTGTCTACCTATTCTATGATCCATCAATATCACTACTATGTATTTACCCAAAATATGAAAATTGTTCATAAAGTGACTTGGTTTGATTATCCAGAATAAGTTTACTTATTGTTCAATGCTCTAAAAAAGCTTTCAGAATTTCTTACTCATATCACTACAGAAAGCAAACCCACTAACTAAAGTTTAATAAATCTTTATAGCTCTCTGTCTTTAGTCTGAGTGTATACATTTTTTTAATTATACTTATAAGTGACTCAGATTAGTTCTATTTCCTTTAGTGTGCTTATGTCATTCACTTGAAGTACAGTAAGTATATTTGTTGTTATTTGTATTTTAAGGTTCTTATTCCCCTTTTTTGTTGGTTTGTTTTATTTATTATTATTATTATTTTTAGCTGAGTCATCCTGCCACCTGTTGGCAGCTCAGCAGCAGCTCAGCAGCAGCTCAGCTCAGGCTGGGAATTGAACCAGCGACCCTGTTGCCCAGAACTCGCACTCTTGAGCAACTTCTTAACCAACTGAGCCACTCAGCCAGCCCTGGTTTACTTTTTAAATATATGAAACAGTACCATGTTTTCAAAAAGATAGAACAGAGAACAAACTGATGGTTGCCATAGGGGAGGGGGGTTAGGGGCAGGGTATAAAAGATGAAGGGATTAAGAAGCACAAATTGGTAGTTACAAAATAGTCACAGGGATGTAAAGTAAAACATAAGGAATATAGTCAATAGTATTGTAATAACTATGTATAGTGTCAGGTGGGTGCTAATCAGGGGATCACTTCATAAATTATATAAATGTCTAACC